GTTAACATACAAGATACATATAATGTCATTTCAATATGTTTGGCTTTTGTTGTTGCTTTACTTATTTGATAAAGGCTGAAGCATATCACCAATGTACTCATTATAAATTGGATAGTAATAATCAGTCTAAATTTCGTATTTATAACAGACACAAGTCTAGAATATAACAATTTTGTTTGTTTAATAATATATTGTAATAAAATTAATTCTTGATATAAACGATATTATGTTAAGAAGTATACGATAATAATTCTTATTATATAAAAATTTGTAAACATGGCAAAATAGTAAAGCTCAACCTGAAGATATGGTAATGATGACGTACGCAATCGCGAAGAACGTCTGAATAAGATACAATTTTTCTCAAACGATAAGTAAAGATCTCTATTTGGCAGCAAACATGTACTAATAATCCACAGATGAGAGTATCGAAGCCAACATTTAAGAATGCTGCGACAGTCAAACTTATCAGTTGATGAATGTAAGCCAGATAGAACAGTAACGTTGATGAGTAGTCAAATGGTAACCATGCTCTGTATGTTAATTTTCTATGTCTGAAGTTTATAGATAAAGAAGATAACATGATACATGATAATGTTACAGTTCCCAAACATACGAAGCGCCAAGTATTAATTCTAAAATAATTATAAAATGTTTGTCAAATGTAGAGTAAAGTTCCTATATTTTATAACATATAAATTCTATTATTAATATTTTTATTCACCAATTAAGTCTTAAGAGAATTTAACGCGTTTTAAATTCTTCTAATTTTGGATTCGGTCATAATGAAAATTTTTAGACCGCATTTGTTATTTAAGAGTAAAAAAATTTATTATAAAATAGAAAATATAAGGAATTATATCTTTTTTTTTTCAAGTATTCCATTCAATTCCTTACAAAATTTTCGCAAAGAGTAACTTTTTTGCTTTTATAAATACCGGTCTCAAAATTTTTATTAGAGGATCCAAGATACAAATCGAACAGAAAAATGCGGAGTCTTTTAGGACTTCATGGGTTAAATAAAAAATTTTCTATTTTTAGGTAAACATGTTCTCCTGTTGCATGTTTCTATTTACCATACATTAATTATATCTATTATGCATTTAAATAGAAAAAGAAATCTCTTATACGTAAAAAATTTAAATATAGAAAGTAACACAAAATAAATTTTAATAGTTTTATTAATATTAAGTAATAATACAATATATTATAATATTATTGATGTTTTGATAGTACTTACTGTATGCTTTTATCGAATTTATAGAGAATATTAATTTCAGTCGATCTCGACGGTCTACACGGTTTCTCCATCAATATGTCGACCAGCATGATAATGTTTTTGCGATTTATGAGCATAATGAACGATTTACAGCAAGAAATAAACATGCAAATTAGTACAAAGAAATTATCAGAAAAATCGTCAGCATTGTCAACTGTTAGAATTACGTCCATCAATTGCGAGAGCAAAAAGGTATTTAGTAATAAAACTATTATACTTGCATACACGTAGTATGCTAAGCGTTTATGCAATGATGACCAAGAATCTGGTCGCCAACATCCACATATCGTTAAAAGTATGAAAGTCAACTTAAGTATGCGCATTTTTAAAAAAATCTTTTTTAATATCATCTGCGAAGCACACAATACATGGAATTGTTCACTGCAAACTTTGTGTAACGTACAATGCTATTAATTAAACATATTTTCAAAGTAATTTGCAATTTTGACAGTTAAAAACGCTTCTGTTTTTGTTATAAAAGTTCAATAGATATTTCTTCAATTTTTTAAATTATATTTACGAATGTTATTTGTATATGACATTTATAACCAATGAAGATTTCTAATTAATCTGATAACTGTAACTGTGAATATTGTGGTAATTGCCTTGAAAAACGAATGAAATTATTATTATTGTAAAAAAGGAATACTTTAAGTGATATCACAACCGATAGATAAGAGTATAGCAAGCACCAAAATCTTTAGACTGACTGGCGAAAGTCGACAGTCTATAGCTTTGCTGTGGATCGAACTTCATAGATGTATAAGATATATTCATATGCGTGTGTCCATATTTCCACCCTTCGCAGTTGGCAACTTCATTATTCATTTTATAACGTATCCCTCGCAATATATACCTCGGGAAATAATATTTTTATAAATCGATATGCAACACGTATATACATCAGTTGCAAAATTCACATACATTACGATGACATAGTGAAATTATACCTTTAAATACAACAATGTTTTTCAGAGGCGGAGTAAAGAAAATATACAAGACAGAATTCTCAAATATTGAACAGAAAATTGTATCTTTGTTTAATATTGGTATACTATTATAATTCTATGCTATTTAAGCTCTAGATATTTAAATTTTCTATGAAATTTTAATCTTTCTATAGCTATTGATGTTATCCATACTTTGACAATACTTATAGTGCTATCCCTTCGTATTGATTTTAGGCACTGTAATTTCTGATTTCCACGTTACAAACAGAAGATGTTAAAATTATATTACATTTACAAAGTGTGTCATAAAAGACAAGATAGATAAGAATCTTTAAAATGTAAAATATAAATATAAAACAGATGTTAATAAGTGTAAAAATATAAGAAAAATACGTAATAAAATAAACAACTCTTTTTGGTTATCTTTTTCTATTATTTTCATAACGTGACAGATTAAATGTGGTATGTTAAGTGAAAGCAACTAATGCTAATTATTATAACTAATTGCAAATATACTATCTTCTCTCTTCTTTTCTTGGTTCTTCTCAGATTTAATATGATATGAGTAATACTTAAATCCATCAGTCTCCCATAGAATCAATCTTGCAGCTTTTGTGTAAGTAAGTTGTAAGTGGAATAAGACATTTTAACTAGCTAAAATCAGTAAACAATTTTAATGGTTATCTAAATAGATTTAATAATTAATAAATTTGCAGCTAATTTTGTCAACAATAGTATCAGATACATTAAATTTTAACATTAAATACATATAGTTCTGAATTTGTTTACATTATTCCAAATAATAATTCCAAATTTTCAATATTTTCCAAACTTATTTAATAAATAGCGTGAATAATTTTAATTTATTAAATAATTAAAATAAAAATAAAAATATCTGTCTTTTGTTAAAATTATTTTAATAATATAATAAATCAATTTATTATAAATTATTCTTCAAATGTAGAACATCTCTATATTTAAATACATCTAAAATTAAAATTTGGCGAAATTAGCTTTATAACAGTTATTTATACTAACACCCATAAAGGTTTCAAGATTCACGGGCATAATACGAGCACAAGTAATCTGAATAGGTGTGACTGTCCGCCTCATTATTATCATTAAACACTTTTTTTTATTTTCGTCCAATGTCAGCCACTCAGTTTCGAAAATATTGTCAATCATTTGGTGACTCTATTAAAACATGTAAAATGTATGCATAGATAACATTTGTGTAAGAAATAAAATATATTTATATTACTGATACCTCGTAAATATTAAAATGATTTAATAACAGATACTGTTAGAATTTTGCAATAAAATTTAGACCGAATAGATTCAGCATTAAATTGAAAATCTATACCTACCGTACCAGCTAAATTATATCTATTACCATACCTTTATCTTTAATTCGTTCCCATACCAACAATACAAGAAGTTTTGAACTAAAATAGTAGCCACATATGTTATCATGTCAATATGTTTGCCTTTGGTTGTTGCTATACTTATTTGATAAAAGCAGAAGCATATCATCAATGTAGTTAATGTAAATTGGATAGCAATAGCCAGTCTAAACCTCTCATTTACAGTAAACGCAAGTCTAGAATTTAACAAACTGTTCGTATAATAACATATTTTAATAAAATATACTGGAAGAACGATATTATATTTAGATGTATGTACACGATATTAATTTAAAAACTATTGAGTAAATTTTGTAAAATTGGCAAAATTGTAAAACTTAACCTGAATATATCACAATGATGACGTACGCTATCGCGAAGAACATTTGAATATGATACAAAACTTCTCAAACGATAAGTTAAGATCTCAATTTGACAGCAGATATGGACTAATAATCCACAGATGAGAGTATCGCAACCAACACTAACGGCTGCTGCGGCAAACATAGCTATCATTTGATAAATGTACGTCAGATAGAACAGAAACGTTGATGAGTAATCAAATGGCAACCATGTTCTGAACATTAATGTTCTCTTTTTGAGGTTTATAAATAAAGAAGATAACAATAAAGATAATATTGTTGCTGCTGGCAAAGATGCGTAGCGCCAAGAATTAATTCTAAAATAATTATAAATTTTCTCAAATACATATACATATAATAATCTTCATATATTTTATATAAATTTTATCTTTATCTACTTATTTATTTATTTATTTATTTATTACGCTTTTAAATCCTTGTAACTGCGGTTGTAATACAAATTTTTAGATCGTATTTCATATATGTATAAAAGTAAAAGGAGTTGCTCTTTCCAATAATGTAGTTAGCATTAAAGAAAGATCCAAAAAAATTACAAGGATTGAAATTAGATATCAATGAGTAAATAAGTAAATTGGTCTATTTACTGAAAAATATTTAACTAATAAATAATTTTGTCTATCTTGTTAAGTAGAATTTATATTATAGGCTACTCAAATAATAATAATCATACAGATTTATTCTACTCAGGAACGAAGTTGAAATTACTTATTAGTTGAATATTTGTCAGTAAAGAGATAGAGATCACTTACTTCTTTTATTTTCACTTTCAACTTTTAATCTTCTTTTTTAGATATTCCCTCGCCGACTATAGACCGTGGCGGGTTTTTGTATGACAGGATGCCTCTAGCGATATCGGACTGACAAGGTACCTCATGACCCAACACTAATTACCATTTATACCACCTTTTAGAACAACGTGGATTGTTAAAAAAAATCTCGTTTTGAAAATTAAAATATTTTTTTGAACACTATAGATATCGGAATCAAATTAAACCATATTTGTTTGAGCTCTCCTAAGGTATCCTACTCCCCAGATTTTTTTCAAAGTCCTAACTTTTCTCGTTCCGGAAAAAAAAACTTTTTGACTTTTGAGTTTTACGTTATAACTTTGGAACCACGTTGTTCCAGAAGCTGGTAAAAATGATAATTTAGTGTTGGGTCACATGAGGTCTCTTATGTGGTCCCTTACGTGTGAAAATCAGCCTGATATCGCTGGAGGCATTTCGCCATACGAAAACCGGCTACGGCCTTTTCAGAAAGAGCAATTCATCTTACTTCTAAATACCAATGCATTCTAAAAATTTTAATTATAAGATTCGAGATACAAGGTAATAAAACAGAAAAATGCGGAATCTTCTAGAAACTTTGTAGGAAACTCTAGAACTGTATATAGGTTAATTTAAAAAACATTATATTTTTAATAACTCTTGCGCATGTTCTGTTGCATGTTTCTAATTGCATACATTAACTATATAAAAACATTTAAATAGAAAAAGAAATCTTTACGTAAAAAATCTGGATATAAAAAGTAACACAAAATAAATTTTAATAGTTCTATCAATATTATACATATAATAATACAATATATTATGATATTATTGATGTTTGTTAATACTTACTCTATACTCTTATCGAATTTATAGAAAATGTTTATTTCAGCCGATGTCGATGGTTTACATGGTTTCTTCATCAGTATTTCAATTAGCATAATAATGTTTTTGCGATTTATGAGCAAAATTAAAACTTTAAAGCAAGAATTTAACATGTCCATTATAAATAAGAAACTATCGCAAAAATCGTCGGCATTGTCCACTATTAGGATGAGATCTATTATTAGCAATAGCGTACCGGTACTCATTATGAAAACTATTATGCTTGTATACACGTAGTACGCTACGCGTTTATGCAGTGATGACCAAGAATTTGGTCGCCAACATCCACATATCGTTAAAAATATAAAAGACAAGTTAAGTATGCGCATTTTTGAAAAGATTATCTTCTTTTATATTACCTGCGAAACACACAATA